CAACAACAAAATAAAATGTATCACAGAAAATCAATAACCCATTCCATAGGACTCGAGATATTTACAAAGTAGACACCAATTTTTGCAATTTACATTGATGTTTACCAACCTTCACTATTGTTCCTTTGAAATTAATTAAAATTTCACATCATTTTGTTAACGACCCTTTCTTTACCCCTTTCCCATTACTATTGACTGAATCCTTTGTTCTGATCAGGAAAAAATATAGAACATCCACAAAAAATGTGTAGTGGTTTCGGTCCAGGTAAAAGTCATGACCTGGGAGATAGATGGGTGAAGTTGTCTGCGGGGACCAGGTGTTGTATCAGAGATAAAAGGGTCCTTTTACTCTATGTCTCATTCATGCTGCACATAAAAACTGGAACTGATGGAGACTGAATGGTGAATGGCAACAGTAGGACAAAGCGAAGGATGTGAGTCATTAAGAGTGTTCAAACACGTACAATCATCCACTGGAACTGAAGCCGTGCAAAGGTAGCTCATGATCAGCTCCAAGGTTGCCACAGGGACCTCTTCCAAGCAGAAGGTGAACACAGACATATTTCATTAAAAGTATATTCTCATTGAAAGATTTTTTTGAGAATTATGAAGTGATACATTTACTGTTTCTAAACCTGCAAAATGGGGCAATAGTAATTCTTACATCATGAAACTGGAAGATGAAATGTAATTAAATGTAAAGTGCTTAGAACAGTTCCTTGCACCAATCCTGGCCTCCTCTCCCTCCACCCACCAAAAACTATTGTAGTTATTAATATGATTTAAGGTGACATATTTCTAGGGATGATTCCATTGAGAATCAGTCTTTTTTACAATGTTGTTATTGCTTTTCAGAACTTGGATAAATGCACTTTTACTCTTTATATGTGTCAAATCATAATAGCACAAAAGTTGGTAGCCATTTTATGACCCATTTCCAGCAATTTTTGTCTTTTTTTGTTTCACTTCAGAACATTCAATGGTGTCCTATCAACATATCCTGAAGAAATTGCAATGTGAAAACTATGGCATCCTATTTTAATAAAAACATCTTCAGTGAATTCTTGGGACAATGCTTCTGAAATATAAAGTACGTTAGGATCCATTTTATGGAAATGTGACTTATGAGGCAATTCTTTTCTGATATTTAGTTGGTATTCCTTCTGTGTAAAAATAAGCCAAATTTTAATCTAAAAGATTACAAAAGTGCCTTTCTTCAACTGGCATGCTGTTCTGTTCCCATAGAATGAGTCTATGAAGGTGAGTGTGTTCATGAGCTTGACATGTGCTAACACTGTGCTTAGTGACTGAATCCAACTGTGTCTGCATTGGCACATGTCATCCATTAAAAACTAAGAAACTATCGCCCTCTTGTTCAGTTCTCTTACCCATACCTTGGATTATGGACCCTACTGAGAATATACTACTCACTCTCAAATTCTTAAAGTTATTTTAACATGCTTTCATGTCAGATATTATTTGCTGACTTAATATAGTCCATCATTTATGTCTTGTTCCACTTATTGTATAGTTACCCACTGGGGAATACAATGCCCAATAGACAGTTTTTGTTCTCAAAGACCTTATGGTCTCAGAGGGGAGACAGACATTTAATAAATCTGTGAAGGGTATAAGAGGGCTACAAAACAAATTACAGAAGAAGTGAGAGGTCCATCCGCAGCAAGAAGATGAAGGAGTGAGAGATCCAGGGGTGGGTCTCCATGTACATTTTCACAGGCAAAGCAGAAGGAATCAAACTTCTGAACGACTTCCAAGTTGTCCCCAAACGAGAATACACAACATGTGCGATGATGAAGACACTGACTCACAATCAGATACAAACATGGGAACATCAGATCATTTGGTTCTCTTTGGATTTTCATCTGAAAAAAAAAAAAATTAAACGATCCATCCTTCGGGCCATGGAAACAATATGAGAGCTCTTATTCACTTGTCACCCACGACCAACTGTGATTCAGAAAATGATTCCCCTGCCTCCTCGTCACACCAAGCAATGGCAGGAGGCACACACACAGACGCTGCTCATCCCTGGGTGAGAAGATGGGAACAGCACAGAAATAGGAACCGAAGAGTCTGACTTGGAACAACTTTTTAAAAACCAATTATGCTTAATGTGCCTAGAGAAGGCAAACATTCCTGGCACGTGTTTCCGCAGTCCCAAACATTGCCTTGGGTGTGTTTTCCATTTTCAGCGAAGGTATTCAGGGTTAGGTTTGGTAGCAACGTGATCCACGGAACACTCATCCAGAAGTTTGTTGAGGAATGCTTTTCTGGAAGATGACTTATCTTAGAAGGGGCTGAGATCACGTTAAGGCTTGTTTATAAGGTATGTGGTACGCTTCGCTCCTTGCCGAAACACGATGTGCTTTAGTGTGGCTCATTAATGAAGTTCATGAGAAACACAAGTGTTCTGTGTCATCTTCTATATATTCCTTAGGAATGTAGCACTTACCCAATTGAAATGGCCTGTGAAGGCTTCTGGCTCCATTCTACCCATCAGCTCTAACAGCAATCTGATCCCAGTCAAGCACAGCCCTCGGATTCTTTTACCTGTTGAGTTGGTCCAACCTGTTAGAGCAGTGGTTCTCAACCTTCTGGCCCTTTAAATACAGTTCCTCATGTTGTGACCCAACCATAAAATTATTTTCGTTGCTACTTCATAACTGTAATGTTGCTACTGTTATAAATCATCATGTAAATATCTCATATGCAGGATAGTCTTAGGTGACTCCTGTGAAAGGGTCGTTCAACCACCAAAGGGGTCGCAACCCACAGGTTGAGAACCACTGTGTTAGAGGAACGATTGCCTAACGTCCAAATAATGGAGTTCAGGAATGAGATGAAATATCCTGTGATGGTAGGCTGACCACTAAGAGGGCTCCAAATGCTCTCACCCCTGCTGTTTGTGCGCTGGTGTCGCCCCTCCTCTTTTGTGCAAACTGGACCTAGTGACCCAATTCTAAGGACTAGCACATAGCAAAAGTGACAGATGTCACTTTCAAGATTAGGTTTTACAAGTCTATGCCTCCCCTCTTGCCAACACTATGTTTTGTGGACATGCTCCCTCATGCTATGCTCTGTTTGCTTGCTTGCTCTGGGGGAAGCAAGCTGACATATCTGGAGTTGCCCTGTGGAGAGGCCTATCTGGCAAGGAATTGAGCTTGGAGGCAGAGCCTTCCATTAAGATGACTGCAGCCTGTGAAGCTCCCTGAGCCAGGGACCCAGCTAAGCCACACCTACATTTCATTTTCTATTGATACTAATATAATAAATGTCATTGTTTGTAGCCAAAACGTTTTCAGGTGATTTGTTACACAGCAATGGATCACTACTACCCTTGCTTATAGAAGTGGTGAGGCTCGGCAATGGGGGCACAGAGTTTGGAAAGAGAATGGCATATATATTTGTGTCTGTCTGAGCCACCAACCAGACAGAATCTTTATGACAGATGTTCTGCATATACTGTTTACAATCATTGCAACAACCTGGCAAGGGTGGTGTTGTTCACATCTTTTGGATAGACTGAGATTATGAAAACTCACTTATTTGGCTCAAAACACTTAGCCAGAAGGTGACAGAGATGAGAGAGAAACCCAAGTCTTTCTTATTCGGAAACCTTTGTTCTTTCCTCTGCATTAATGATTCATAAGAGGTAAGGGCTTGGTTCACCGGTAAGAGCTTTTTAAAGCTAGTTATGTCACTTTTTCCTTCTGCAGGTCCCAACACAGTTTGCACTGAATCATGCCGCAAAGTGCTGTTGGACCAGAAGAGCATTGAACGTACACAAGTTCGGCTCTACTCCTTGCAGCGTGGGCCTATAGTTTGAAAATTAAAATTGCACATTTCCACCAGGTTCTGATTGAGGATCTGGTAGCCCTTAGCAGCCTCTCTGGTGATTAGTAAGATGATCATGTGACTGGCATTCTGGTGTTGTTTTAATTAAGTTAAAAATAAAGCAATAGCACCCAGAGCCCCACTAGTTGCTGGCCTCATCACAGTGTGATGTGTGCCAGATCCTACCCTGGCAACAGCCCCACATTGGCAATGGGTTTGGCTACAAGGAGAAGTTGGGAAGAGAGTGGGTGAGTGGAGAGTGCAGCTTTCATCTGGTGGTGGCAACAAGGCTATGAATTAATAGAAGAGTACACCGTAGTGCCACACCTGAGGAAGATGTAGGTGGCCCTCAATACTCCTCTCAGGGATTCTAGGGCTGAGCAGGGCAGCTGCAGAATTGATTAGACTCTGAAAATAGGCTGTGGCTTTGCCTCACCAACTCCTGGGCTGGGTCCAGGGTCTCTCATGGGCTGTAGATTCAGCCCATCAACTCTTATAATAGCTTCCTCAGCCCTGGCTCCGAGTGGGCTTCTCATTGGTCATGAGCTCTCCTGCAGGTCACAGCCTTACTTCCAGAGCAATGGCCTCCTCACACATACTGGTGACGGACATCGCCATTAGCGGACCAAGCCAACTCCTGGAATAGATGACTGTCGAGATCTCTTCTTCAGCTCCTTCCTGCTACCTCATTGCGTTCACATAAAGGATTTTTCTAGAGCAGTACTGCCCAATAAGGTTGCTACTAGCTATGTGAGGCTGTATAGCATTTGAAATGTGGCCGGTGAGAGGGAGGAAATGAATTTGCCATTTAGTTTAATTTGAATTCATTTACATTTAAATAACCATATGTAGATGGTGGCTAATGTGTTGGATAGCACAGTCCGAGAGGCTGTCATTCTTTTGTTAGTGTATTTTTGGCAAATATTAATAGAACATTTTCTATGTGCCAGAATGTTGTATGTATCCATCCAATTTGCACAAAATCTGATGAAGCCCTTTGTATGATTTATATTTTCCAGAGCAGAAAGTTGCATTTTAGAGAGATGATGTGGCCTGTATTAGATCACACAGGCAGGAGACAGTATTGAAAATAAAGTCTATCTGGCTCCAGTCTTGCGTTTTCTGTACAGAAGAACAAGGCTAGATCAGCAGGAAGGGAGGGCGAAACAAAATAGACACAATTAAAATATAACCCTTGTTATAATGGCTTGTTTCATTTTATTGCATATTGTAAACATTTTGGCCTCAGCAAATACAGTAGTTTTTAAATAATCATCATTCAAAGCTTTCACAACAAATACTATTTCCCCCCAAGATGTTTCATCTGTGAAAATAATCAGTGAGCTCCAAAAGTCTATCCTGATAATGTGCACATTTATGCTATTGTGACACTAAATACAAATAATAAAAATAGTCATCTCTGGTAGGTCTATGGGTTTGTGATATATTTTACGGGAGGCCATAAAACGACTCAAAGAAGAGAGATGGTGTGGACGGAAATGGCTCCTATGAGGGTAATGATTGCAGACTATAGGAGGCGAGTAATAAATGTTTATTGATGGTGAAGATGATGAGAATTCAATTTCCACTGGTCTTTTCCTCTCCGTTTTTCTTGAGAAATATATGGTGCATTTGCAACCAACATTCTGCAATTCAGTCACAGAGACCCCGGCACTTTGAGCTGCACAGCTTCAGTTGGATTGGGTCTGCTCACACTTGCAAAGAAGAGAGATGAATGAAAGCGGATGCTCTGTGAAAATTGTGCTAAATCTCAGTCACTAGAACAGGCTGAAACTCTTGAATGCACTGTGTCTTCATGAGTAGGACAATTGTTAGTGCCTAAAACCAAGCAAGTCATTGAAAACTCACTAGTTTTTAAATCTCACTGGCAGTTAAACCGTATTTCAGTCAGATAGATGTATTTATAAGTAAAATATGCTATGTATATTAGCTACTAAATTTCCTAACTACAAGAATGGGAACTATAATTTATACCTTAAGGCATTTTGTTTGTTTTATTCAGCAAATTTTTAGCACTGTTTTGGGGTTTCACTGAAACATGACAATGATGTCAGCTTAAACATTTTATATTTAATTGCAAAGTGATACAAAAATTTAATAATCTAGTCCCAATATTTTCTTAGTGTAAATATTAAATACATGAAAAGTACAACATAAAAACATAAATGTTAAGGCCACTTGCAGAAAAATATGGCACATTAGAGTTACTTATTAACAATGTTTACACCTAAAGATAGGCGCTTGATAACATTTGGATTTTGGCAAAAGGCAACAAGTTGATATTAATATCCTAACTTTTCCATTAACAGTGTAACTTTTCAAGGGAATAGATTATCAAAATATCACAAAAGAGAAATAGAAATTTGTCTAAGCTATGGATGAATGGAAATCCACAGAACAGAACCCAAACTTCATTTCTTCCTCTTCTTTTTTTTCAAACCTGTATATCTTCATGGTCAAGTTCTGAGACTTTTCTTCCTGACACACAAAGAAAATATTTGGCTTGTGATCTTTTAATCTGAAGTGAAGAATTTGTTGCTTATGGAACATTTTTTCCCACCATTGAAATAACCTTTGTCATAATACACTAAATAAAGCCAGATGATTTTTAGGTGGCAGTAATTAGCATTGAAGAGTTCTTGGCTTCAAGCAACTTTGAATCCCTTTGATCCTGTTTTAACTCTCAAATCAAATAGGTAAGATCCAACTATTCCAGTAGTTTTTGGTTTTGGAGGCATACAAATCTACCCCACATCTGCATATAACATGAGCAGAACTTTGAGGTGCACCTTTGACCATTTGATTGAGCTAACCCTTCTAGAGCAAGGCTCTCACAGATCGTCAGCCAGGTTCTGTTTGAAGCCTTGGCAACAAGGCGCTTCACAAAAGCCCTGAAACCAGAGTTCCTATAACTTCCATCCAGTGCTTCCAACAGAATAAGGCACAGAGTAGGTTCTCAGGCACTTGATCAGCATTTGCTGATGAACGAAAGAATGAATAACTCTAGTTCTGACTCTTAAAGCTACGTGGAATACAGAATCTAATGATTTTCTTTATGTACTCCTGTCTTACATAAATCTTCCCTTTGGATCAGTGTTGCAATTCCCATAAGCAGCATGATCTTCAGGTATTTTGTGTATCTCATTACTCTCCTCCAAATGTGCTTACGTTGATCAGTAGATCTCTTCAAATGTGGTTCCATCAAGCCAAACATAATACTCCAGATGGGGTCAGCTCTGAGAAGGGTTAAAAACCCTGTATCTCTTAGCCTGGACATTGCACTTGACACATTGTTTGACCCAAAGGACTATTCCTCACAGCAGTCCTCTCCTGTCTGTTTCTGAGTGTAGGCATTTTATTCAGGGCAAGATGTGTGGCTGGCACATATTCTCTTCTGGGAGAAAGATTATTTCCTTGAGTGTCCAGGATAAGGAGGGGGTGGAGAACGCTGTGCTGAAGACGGTGGGGTTGGGGAGTAGGGAGGAGGCAGCTCTGCACAGTATTCCATCTCATGGTTGTAACTATAGGGAGGTGGTGCCACTGAAAAAGAAAAGGAAAAGGGCATCAGGCAGGTAGCAAATATTTGAGAATCCACCATGTTTATGCCATTGGGCTCGGTGCTTTGAGAGGGGACACAATTTTTGCCTGCAAAAATCTGAGTTTTATCAGGCTGAGGGCCATTGGTCAAAGTATTTAGGGTTGGTGGCTTAGGCTAAGTTTCTTGGAAATATGATGTGAAAGGACAGATAGAGAAGAGACTAGAAGATAATTCAAGTTTGAGCAAAAGCACAGAAACAGGGGAACATTTTTGTACAAAGCATAAAGTACACGGAGGGGAGAAATGGGAAAGATGTTGAGGAATTGGATAGTATTATCATCATGGTGGACTTTGAAAATCACATAAAGAGTGAACAATGTACAATTAGCAAGAGATTTGTTTTGAATATTCTAGTGAATGTGTCTTTGCAGTATGAATTGAGGTGGATCAAAGAAAAAGTGAGATGATGTAAGAGCTATGTGAGGGATTATAAGGGACTCATGGTGGTGTATGTGGTGGGGGTGGGGGGGGGATCATAAGAGCCCTTAGGCAGCTCTGAGAACTGAGGTGATGACTGGGTAGGTGGAGAAAGGTGTGGAGAGTAAAAAAGGGTGTTGAAGTATTGGACACCCAGTACTGGGCTCCCGTACTTGGAAGGTCATGGAGCCATTACAAGAACAAGAAAAAAAAAGAGGATAAGCAGGTTTGCAAATAAGGATGAAGAATTTCGTTTTCTAAATTTTATTTGAGAATTTTTCTTAATTTTTTATTGAAATACATGTCAGTGTGTTTTTAAATCACATTTAATACACTTTATTATGGCTATGTATGGATGTCTGTTTTGTAGTGATCTCAACCCCATTTCTAGGGTTGGAAGAGAGGTACCCCTTGAGTACATGATATCTTTAAGAACCCAGCCATTCTTCAACAACTGAGCAAACAAACCCTCACCAGGCCCTCTGATGACTTGCCAGTACTTGAATCATCATCCAGATCATGATTCTACTTGGAATTGCATGTTGAATTGCTTACTGTGAATGTAGCCTAGTGTCATAATAATGCAAAAACAAAACCAAAAGCCAGGTTCTTAACATTAGAATGGGAGGAGAGAACATGCACCATTTCAACCACCTTATTTCTAAAGTGTCTTCTAAAATGTGCTTGTACCAATATGATTATGACAGCGTTCTGACAGCTGCATGGGCACACACCGGGCTTCACCCTATTGGTAAACACAAACTGTTTCTTTCAGTCCCTTTTAGTTGGCTGACTTCACCAGAAGTTGGATGACTTGAGCCATTTACAGATCTGCCCATCCTCAGGGATATGAGGGAGTGGGATTGAGTCACTTAAGAAAAGAGGAAGATAGAGACATAGTACTGGCTGGGATGTCCTCTAAGGATTTCTCTGGTCAGCAAAGGCTCTGCGAGTCTCTAGTGGTTTGAGCAGGTTGAGGGCTTCCGACAAGGACAGTGCTCGGTAGAGAAAGCAGCGATGCTATCTACAGCTTCCCCATGGCTGCTTTAGACCTGTGGAGGCTGGGCGATTTCAAGCCTTGTTTCTACAATCAAATGGAATAAGTCCTGTGGAGTCTAATCACACATTCCCTCTGCATTACGCCCACTCCTTTGCTTCATTCTGTCCAGGAGGACTGAGACAGAGAGATTTGTAATGAACTTCCTCCAAGCTAAGAAATGCAGCCTCCATGTAAAACAGGAAGCTGCAGCTGGATACCCACTGAACTGCTTCTTTCCAGCATGTGGTTTGAAGTTGTTTTAATATCCAGGTTTTTCCCTGCAGCCCACGTGAGGAGCGCACACCGGATGAGTCTACAGATTGACTGCATCACTCTCTGTCATGAAGCCGCAGCATGCGGCTATGCCTCGGTAACAAAGCGTTTATGTTTTGCCATCTGCATAAAAACTGCCGGAGGACATTTCAGTGCGATTCCCCATGGTTTCCACAGCTGCATGTTGAACAAGAAAATCTAACATATGAAACAGTGTTCTTGCATTCATCTAGCCTTTGAATTTCGATGAAGGGGTAATAAAATGCTGAAGAGCGATATTTGGGCTATCCATCATGAAACAGACATGGCACATCGTTTATGGTACCAGCTACTGGGAGACATTTTTGAAATAGTACTTGTATATCTGTGGGCTGTGCTATCTTTCTTTCTTGCAGATAATAAGGTTTCACTAGGAAGCAACTTCGCACGGTATCAATTTTTAGAATTCCGGACTAACTCTAAAAGGATTTGTTCTTCCTTAAAGGTTAAGTCGTCTCTAAAAGATATATGGGTGCAGACGGAGATATGGTGCCTTAGAAATTCTTTTATAACCGATATTCCAATTTTCTGACTTAAGTAGAGCAAGCGTGCCATTTATCCTTAATGTCATTATAGTTGTCTACAATATTAGAAAATGTAAGGATGCTATGAATTCGTAGGAGAAATTTAATGTTTTTCACCCACTCAGGCCAACATTTCTAAAGCAAATGTAAAAGGAAGATGCATAGTATTATAAAAACTATGCAACATTATTTTAGAAAAATTGCAAACAGAAAAATTATCTATAATTTTGTCACCACAATTTAACAAAGATTATCTTTATATATTCTCTTTTAGTCATTTGTGTTTTTTATATCCTTGTGGTCATATAAAATGTTATATGCTTTTTTATACTTTGTGTTAGAACATAGTGCCTTTCACTGTGCTATATATTCTTCATAAACGTTATTGTTAATAGCTGCATATTATTCAACTGATCATTCTCTTGTTTTGAGGTCAACAATTTATTATTATTATTATAAATACGGAGTGATAAATGTCTTTCCATACATAGACTTATATTTTGAATTGGTTATTTAGAATAAAATTCTAGGAATCACCTAAAATTGCCTGTCACTTACTATTTTTGTCATTCTTGTTTCTATTTTTTACCTTGTAAAAGCTTCCTCCCTTCTGCTCATTTTGTAGTCTTCATTTTGAAGACTGCTTACGTCATGGTGTTGGTTTGTTATCACCTAAATTATCTGCTTTAGTCATTCTTTAACACAAGTGACCCTGCTTCTCAGTCCCTTGAACATTTTTGCCTTCAAAAATCATTTTCTCACTTTGTAACCAATAATACTACCATTTTGCAAATCTGAACATAACTCTTTATCTTTCTAGAAGACACATTCCAAAACAACTTGAACCTCACCTGAATTATCAATTTACTGACATTTAAAAATTGATAATTTAAACTGATGTCACCTCTTTTCTGTCTTCATATCTTTATGCAGCTTAGATTTATGGTCCATCACAGAAATCATTTCTGTGCATCCATCATCAACTTTCTTTTCTCTTTCTTTCTCCATTGGCTGAGGAAACTCCAATCCTAATTAAATCCAACATTTTGGCCACCCAGCTCTGTATCTAGGAGCTTAGAATAGGAGGATAAAAATGCACAATTGTGCTGATTGATTCTTAAGTGTGCAGGATGTTGGTAGTGCCTGAAAATTGTAATTAAACAGATATTATTCATTCTACCCAACATAACAGGAATAAAAAAACTGTTTCCAGAAGGTCACTGTCCAGAGTGTCAGGGATAGCAGATTACCTTTTCTTGTTAATCTCCTTCCCAGTGCAGAGTAATTATGTTCACTGTCGGGTTCCCCACTGAGCACTTTCAAGGGGTAATGTAACCTTGGCTAAATTATTTTCTACTCACTTATGTGGCCTCCAGACTATCTCTATTATCGCAGGGTTAATTAATTACTGTGGGTAAAAACATTTTATATTTCCACACATGGAAGATTTTGAAAAGCCTTCAATTCTACTCTGAGTTGCTTCCCGATCCTTTAAGTAAAAGCTTAATTAGTGTCTTTGAGAAGGAAATGAGAAGTAATCAAGCACATTATGTCTTGAAGACCTTGTCTTTTTGCAGTAAAAATGCTTCTATCATGAGATTTATTATGTTTCTTGCATTAATCGGTTCTCAGAACCATACATTTACTAAAAATGCAACACACCTCTGTGATCTGCAGTATTAATGATGCCACTATAACATGTAGAAAACATGTTTCCATGTATGAAATAGAAAGTGCAAACCTGAAAAAACACAAGACTTCACATGAAAATATTTTGTGTCTTCTATTCTAATTTTATAAATACTATTTTTAAATGTTTTAAAAATTAATTTTAGCCCAGCCGGTGTGTCTCAGTGGTTGAGCATCAAGCTATGAACCAGGAGGTCAAGGTTCAATTCCTGATCAGGACACATGCAGGCTCGATCCCCAGTGGCAGATAGATACACTGGAAGATTGCTCACTGTAGTCAATGAGACAGCCATGGAAAATATGAATATCTTCCAATATTAGGTGGATTTTATTATTTGTAATCTAAGTAATCACCAATAAAAGCTATATAGTGGGGCCTTGACTTACGAGTGTCCCGACTAATGAGTTTTTTGAGATACGAGCCGTCTTTCGGCTGATTTTTTGCTTTGAGTTGCGAGCTAAATTCGGATTACGAGCCAGCTTCCGATACCCCACCGCTAGCTGGCTCAGCGAACGTCACAGTGAACGCCACAACATCAGTCCAGCATTCAATTCATTGTAATGGTGAAAATTGATTTGACATACGAGTAATTTGAGTTACGAGCTCCGTCACAGAATGAATTAAACTCATAAGTCAAGGCCCCACTGTATTTCCATCTACATTAATTTAGAAATACACTACATACTTGGAGATTATTCCAGTGAGTTTCTTTAATTTTTTAAAAATATTTTATTGGTTTTTAACCGAGAGGAAGGGAGAGGGATAGACAGAAACATTGATGAGAGAGAAACATTGATCAGCTGCCTCCTGCACACCCCCCCACCGGGGATGTGCCTGCAACCAAGGCACATGCCCCTGACTGGAACCGAACCTGGGACCCTTCAGTCCATAGGCTGAACATTCTATCCACTGAGCCAAACCAGTTAGGGCTCAGTGAGTTTCTTTAATGTTTCCTCTCTCCAAGGAGTAGAGCCTGACGCTTTCCTGAGAAGCGAGCTGTTTTGCTTACCAGGATAGGAGGTGATGGCATTGATGCGGGCGGTGCCCATGACGCCCACCCGGGTCCCGCGGTTGTTTTTCATGCACATGCAGATACATATGGCGATTCCAGCAATGACCCCCATGATAAATACGATTCCAAACACAATACCGGCAATCGCCGTGCCCCTAAAAAAGGAGAAACAAAAGTACATTTATTAAAAAATCTCATAAGGATTCTTCAGACTTTCAAATACAGCTCAATGACTATAGGACAAGTGCTTTTTTTAATGAATGTTCTTAAGGAGAATGTTAAAAAAAATTCCCTGGTTTAGTTAAATAGTCTTGTGCATTCCAATGAATAAATGAAAGTTATAAATCTTCAGGGAATTCTCTTCCAGAACAGTAAACTCATCATTCAGATTCCGGTTTTAAAAATTCAGGTATTTATAAAAAACACAATTCTCCTGATATGTTCTCTAAAATAATAATTAAAAAAACACACACATTCTGCCATGTACTTCAACATTAAATGATTTATCTGTTTTCTGTAGAGTATATGTGTTTAATGAAGACAATTTGATACATGTCAAAATATTAAATATAATTTAACATTCATCCTCATTAAAACTCTTCATATAGAACTAGAATTATTTTTCTTAATAAAACAGAAAAAGAAAAACAAACATTTAAAAAAATTTATACAGAGAATAGTTATGACAGATTCCCATTAGATTCAGCAACAACGTAAACAAAACCTTTATTTTATCAATGTTAATGTTTTTCTCCAGAAAGTTTTTTCTCATGCAACATCACAGAAAAAAAAAATACTGCACGAAAGAGTCAATATTATCATTCTGTGTAGAGAATATGATTTGGATGAATCTATTTGTCCACCATTTTGGAAAGTAATGCGGGAAATCTTTATCAATATGCAAATTTTCAATAGGCAGTATATTTGTAGCAATGCATCCTAAAGAAATACAACACATATAGGTACAAATAATGTACTAAGGATATTTATCCAAGTGTTGTTGCTAAGAGCAAAATATCAGAAACACCCTAATGTTCCTAAAAAGGGAATTGACAAAAAATGACAATATAATACATCAGAGAATGAATCCTATACAATGATTTTAAAAGGTGAAGAGGTTTATAAATTGAGATGTTCAGGATACATGGTTAATTGAATAATAATAATATAACAAATGAAAAGTCAAATGTCAACAGAATAAGACCAGTGTGAACTGAATGATTGCAAGAGGATAAATTGTATTTGTATCTATCACATTTTTGAATGTATAGATAGTGATTACCTTGTAGAATAGGAAAATAAAGCAAATTTTAATTTGTGTACTCTCCTTTAGCAACCATTTTCAACTCTATTGGCATTTTTTAGTATTTTCTTCTTATTTATCAAAAATATTATTATATTCCTTTAAAAAATTTTATTTCCACGTATTAGCTATTGGCTTTTCTTACAGTTTTTGGGATTATAGATTCTTCAGACAAAACTAATCCTTCATTAAGTCAGTCATTAGTATATATATTACCTTGATATTACTTACTGCTGAGTCATTGTTACCTTTAATTTCTCTTACACTTACACTGATTTTTAAGGTATATCCATGAGATTCCATTTTTTTTCCATAAACCTATTATTACTCCCCTTTCTCTGTCCCCAAATACTTAGAAATCTTTCAATTATCAGTTATTTTTGAATGCTCAAACACAGTGACAATCACTTTATCAGTTCTGTTTTATCCCCATGGTGATTTCCTTCATAGCCTGCCATCTCCAGTGGTGCTTTTTGAATCTGGAACTGTTTCTAGACCTGCTTATGGTCCATGGATGTCAAGTGTCTGGACCACATTCTTTCTCTTTCTTGGTGAACTGCCCTGTTCACTGAAGCACATTCCTGAGTGGCTTCTTAAAGAAAGATTTAAGGGAAATAAATGTTTCAGGGTCCTTGCATGCCTGGAAGTGACTTAATGCTACACTCACTTGGTAGTTTGACTGAGTATGGAATGCTAATCTGAAATACATTATTTCTCACAAATATGAAGGCATTGTTCATTGTCTTCTAAAATTTGGGATTGCTATAGAGAAATCCCATAGCATAGTATTTACTTTTCTTTGTGTGATACTGTTTTTTCTTTCCCTTTCTGAAGTTCTTATATTTTATTTTTACTCCTAGTATTCTGAAATTCAATAAAATGCTTGGATTAAAAAAAAAAAAAAAGGCCAGACACTGTAGGAAGCAAGCAATCAATGGTTCTCTTGTCATTGATGTTTCTATCTCTCTCTCCCTCTCCCTTCCTCTCTGAGATCAATAAAAATATATTAAAAAAAACAAGCTGTTAATATTGAATTGGTATATATTTATATTCATTAATCCCTTTTAAAACACAGAAAAGTAGCTTCATTTTGTTTCCTTGGCAGCTCCAGGAGGTCAACAATGAGGTTGCAACTACTGTGTTAGGTTAGGTTTCTTAGTAAATCATAATTTTGGTGCCCTTGATCCTCTGATATCCATTAACAATTGAAAATTAGATATTTAAGACGTGGCAAGGATAAATGTATAGTATAATTTACTATTATACAAAAAAAATGCAGTAACAAACTAATCTTTCCGCATACAAATACTTTGGTTTGCTCAGCTGTTGGAAAGAGACAGCTATCAATTTGAGCAATTTGGCATCACAAAAACCTTGAAAAAAATGTAGGGGATTCTTTTTTGAAAGAATGCATTTATTTCAGGGTGTGCACATTTTCTGGTTACCAGAAAGACCAAAGTGTGATTAGAGGGTTGGATCTTTCAGCCTCACTTCTGACCTCTGGGGAAGGAGGCCGATGACTTAGTCAGTCACACCTGTCCAAGGAGTGCTCTATCCAAACCCTTACATGGTGAGGTTCAGAGCATTTCTGGGTTGGTGATGGGAGCAGTCACAGGAGCTCTGGACCCTCCACTTCCCTTCACCCACACCTCGTTCTATGCATCTTTTCCATTTGGCTGTTATCATATACTGGTGATCAGGTAAGCACAGCATTTTCCCGTGTCGTGTGAAATGTTCTAGAAATTAGTTAAATCTGAAGGAAGGGGTTATGGGCATCCCTGAGACAGAGGGCTGTATCTAGCGGCTTAATACTTGTGACTGATATTTGGAGCCAGTGCAACCTAGTGGGACTGAGCCCTGAGCCTGAGGAGCCTGATTCTAACTCCGGATAGTTAGCGTCAGAATTGTATTGAATAGCAGGACATCAGTTGCTATGAGAATTGGTTGGTGTCAGACGTCCTTCTCTGGTTGCCCCAAATCTTGATAAATGTATATAAGTATCGGTGTGTATTGTCAAACTCCATGGGTGGGTATTGACCACTTGCTGAAAATGAAAAAGTTCTGAGCAAAATTATAGCTTAAAACTTGCACTAATATTACACTTTATAATTAAGATATTGAATGTATTTATAGTGGCTCTAGTGACTATGAAACTGTGGTTTATAACAATGCTTAGAGATAAAATAATTTATTCCATTAATAGATTTTCATAAATAAAAAGATTCTGATAAATGTTGTAATTGTTATAATAATATTCACAACACACTTTTAGGCTCAGCACTCCAAATAGTAATTTGATATAGATATTTTACATGGTTTTACTATTAAGTAATGTTTAAGATAAATAGTAGTTATGAAAAGAATTTCCCTTCTTCTCTGACATGATCAATTTACAAAAGCATTTTATAAAACAGTGTAATATGAGTTAATTTTTCTATTATGATAAATTATAACTGAAGGAAAGTATTTAATCTTTTTTATCAAAGGAAATATTAAACAATTCTATTTATTTATGACAACTCATGTGTGATGAATGAAAGCAATGAAAAATATCATTCCAAACTGTAGGGATGGAAGTAAAATGTACACATGAGAAAAATAAAACTTGGCAAAATTCTTCAGATTATTCCATGTTCTTAATAGTTCTTTCTTTTGGCCAATGCATTAAAATATTGTAATGAAGAGAGTAGTAATGATTTCTTTTTTAAAAAATATATTTTTATTTATTTCAGAGAGGAAGGGAGAGGGAGAGAGAGATAGAAATATCAATGATGAGAGAGAATCATTGTTCGGCTGCCTCCTGCATGCCCCACACTGGGGATGGAGCTCACAACCCGGGCATGTGCCCTGAACAGGAATCGAACTGTGACCTCCTGGTCCATAAGTTGACATTCAGCCACTGAGCCACACTGGCTGGCCTGATTTCTTAATACTTGGTTGTATATACAGTTTTCTGACCATGAGGATGTTTTTGTGAAATAGAATCCAATCCACTTATTTTAGCCCCAGAGCTGTTTATACTGCAGTGGCTGACTTGCTCACATTCTCTCATCTACTCCACAAAGGTCATGGAGTCCCTTCACTCTGTCAGGTAAATGGACAAAGTCTTATTGGGAAGCAGAGAAAAGGAGAGAGAGGATTCCCGGAACAGTTTGGAGATTGAAGCCCTGAAGCCTGATGGCCAGATTGAATTGGGGAGGACGTGAGAGGAGAGAGTGTAGCGTGTCTTCCATGTGGGTGACTGCATATGGTTCATAAAACTGTGTTGAAATGGAGACTATATGAGACACGCGATCATAAGCAAGATTTAAACAGAAACTGCATGAAGGTTTCCCTGCCTTCTGCCTCCCAAACCGAAAAATCCCCAATTACTGCTAGATAGGATTCTCTCCTTTCTAATGCTTTGGCACAGCTCACCCTTTTGAAGTAACCTTTGCTGAAACTTCACACTGAGGTAATTACCTTAATGTATGATGATTACTTTAGACAGGCTTTCTTCTTTTCCTTTCTAGGCCTTTTTATCATAGTTTGAGTGGTGGGAAAAAATCACGAAGCAGTTTCTCAACAGTGACTATGAGGATTTCTATTGAAAATCTATTTGTTGAGATTTAAGTCCTAAGACGTGAGAGATGGCATCTGATTATGAAAATACAGAGCCCTCAGAGTAACCTACTTTCCTTTCCATCGACCGCAGCATGGAGAGTTTCAAGTGAATATGGAGGCTCCCACAGTTATTGACCTGGCAGAATAGCAGCCACCTTTCAGACTTACACGTTTAAAAATTTAATCAGGTTCCTGTAGGACTGGGGTGGATGCTGGAGGTGGTAAACCTTTCCAAATTAACTGCTGAAA